ATATTCAAATGGGCTTAACACAGTTTTGCATAGTTCATATAAAAACAAACACGAGTTTGGTATTATATATTAACCGAATAACAATTTTAGAATTTTTTGTCTGTACATTACAAGTACATCAATATGCATAGAATATTACAATGTCAACCCCAATAATAATCATGGCACATCCTGATTCCTATGTAGATGGATGAAAATAAAACGCTGCTTAAAGATACATTCTTTTTTTTTTTTTTCTTTTCAGCTAAGATCAAATTCAATTACTCCCTGTGACTTAATATTCAAAATTTATTTTCTTTTTTGTTTACAGCTGATGTGTTTGTTATATATACAAGAGACAGAGATTCTAATGATTTAGAAGATGGCAAGCTGTACAACAAGGACTTGTCAGCCTTTACAGGACATTTTCTGTTGAAAAAATTCACGGCTAAAAACAGAGGACTAAGTGTAAATGATACATTTACACCTTACCAGAAAAGTCATATCAAGGGAGTTGTACTGAAGAAATGACAAAATACTCTCTATAATAATAATATATTGAAAGCCTTCATGACCAAAATGGCTACTAAAAGCACTGTTATATCTTAAGGTGTTTTTGCATAAATGACAAAGTAAGGGGGTTGGAGGTTTTTACATAGAAACATTTTGGTGGCTATAGTATGATTTGATTGAGATATCTGGAATTATCAACATATACAAGTAAAGGATATATCCTTAGACACCACACAGGGCTTATATTTCTGGAGTAGTAAATGGTATATATATATATATAAATCTGATGACTACTTGGTATAATTGTTTTCGTGTATCTTAAAACATAGACATTATAATGGATTGTAGTAACTTAACTGGGATTGTTTTTTATGCCCCACCTAGGGGCATTATGTTTTTTGGTCTGTTTGTCCGTTCGTCCGTCCATTCGTTCGTCCGTCTGTCCCGCTTCAGGTTAAAGTTTTTGGTCAAGGTAGTTTTTGATGAAGTTGAAGTCCAATCAACTTGAAACTTAGTACACATGTTCCTTATGATATGTTCTTTCTAATTTTAATGCCAAATGAGATTTTTGACCCCAATTTCACGGTCCACTGAACATAGATATGTTCATAGAAAATGATAATACGAGTTGGGCATCCGTGTACTATGGACACATTCTTGTTTTAGATCAATGGTGATGCTTTCTTTATTTTATTGTTAATGTTGTAATGAAAAAGAGAAAATTAGCTTAGTTTGCATATACTCCAGAGCCGTATTGATAGCTGTATAACAGTAACGAATTTTCTATGCAATATTTTTTTTTCAGGACTTTGCATGATACATGCAAAAGAACGAAACATTGTACCAAAATGGTATTTATAGTGCAAAACAAATAGTTATTTCTATACACTTATAAATTATTATTTTATTAGCTACTCAATTATTGTCTTTGTAATCACCCGTTGGCCTTGATATTTTTGCAGAATTTACATTAAAAGTTTTTATTAAGAACAATTTGAAAAAACCATAATTACGTATCATTAATATCTAGTATTTTACTAACATTTATTTGTTAAATCTTGTTTCAAATCAGTGTCGTCAAAATGGTGCATATAATTTATGCATATGTTACATTTTGCTGTTGCATCAGCATTAAAAGACCATTTCTTTTTTTTTTTGGCAAATTTTTTTTGGGTGTTCATATTTTTTTTCTTCAAAATGTGTGGGGTGGGGGTGGGGGGATTTTTTTTTGGGGAGGCATACTTTTTTTCTTTTAAGATTTTTCAGAAAAAAAATTTGGGGTTTTTTTTTTTGCGGTTTTTCTTTCCCAAAAATTTCAAATGGATTATTTCTGATTTATATATAAAAGTAACAAATACTGATATGGCAGGAGATACATACCAAACAGGGTGTGTAAATATAGATTCTACCACTGCATCGAGTGTGATACAATATTTATCCACTCGAGACAGTTGAATTTTCAAATTTAAAAAGCGAGGCTCGCCGAGCGTTTTAAATTAGAATTTACCTGTCGAGAGTGGATAAATATCGTATTACACGAGATTTGGTGGTGGAATCTGTTTCTCTAATTATTTTCAAACAATACGCAGGCAAATTTATTCCTTCTTTTCGAATGATCTGCAAAAAGATGTGTTCTTTCTATGTGACGTCATCAGGCATGGTCGCCATTTTTCATGCCGTCACAATAGGAAATTCAGAGGAAAGCAAGAAAATTCGACGTCATAATCGGATTTTAACCAATGAAGAACTGAGATCAAACCAACCTCACGTTGATTAAATTTTTTTTATACAATGGGTGCAGAAAGGGATAAATTGACGAAGAATTAGAGAAACTATTATATACAACAGATTAACTAAGTATTGTGCAATAGCAAGAAATCTTCAAGTGAAAATAAATACAAATCTTTTAACCAATTTCAATGGGATTAAATTAAGGCTTTTATTTTTGGGGGTTCTAACCTTGTATTACTATTTTGGATATTGGGCCCCATTTTTGAATTGGTCTACAATGAGGTCCAAAGGGTCCAAAATTATTTTTTGTTTTTTTATATGCTGAATCTAACCATGTTGTTATATGTTGGATATCAGACCATACTAGGTAAATTAAATGTGCCGTTTCAAATTTTAAAGATCTTTGACCACATTTATTTTGTGTCAGAAACCTATATTATGTCAAAAATTTTATCACAATCCAAATTCAGACAATATCAGGCTTGAATATTGTGCCCAAACTTGCCCCAACTGTTCAGGGTTTGACCTCTGCGGTTGTATCAGGCTGCGCTCGGCGAAGCATTTTATTTTTAGTTTCATTTGCTGCTGAAATTTTATGATTAGGAAATTTATGACACTAATAATAAAATATTTAGTATGCAGCTGCATTTATTTAGTATCAGTGCATTTCATTCCCAAGAACATTACCAATCATCAATAATATTGTTCATGGTACCCGCAGAATATCGAAAAATAGTACCGTTGATGAAATGTATTTATAGTGCATAACAATTAATTATAGCGATACAACTTATTAAAGAAATTATTTATCTGCTCAATTATTGTCATTGTTTTATGGCCCATTGACCTTGATATGTTTGCATATTTAACATGTTAAAAAACGGTTTATAACAGATTACCAGAAACCATAATTCTTTTGTATGGTTCAAAGACCGGAAATGTTCTAAAAAATACTAGGCTTATAAATTGGTACGCTAAACACTCGTTTCTTCTACAATATGTTGCTATCTAATTGTGTATGTTATTTTTTTTTCTCTTTTTCTCTTTCTTTTTTTCTTTGCAACAGTTTCAGAAATCACAAGTCGAATGTTATCAAAACTGGCTAGACTAATGTCCTTATTTGTGCCTTAGGTTAAAATTTGAAGATTTCTTTTTTTATTGTATATTTTGGGGAAATCAAATGGAGGTTGGATTTTCTATGTAAGCATATGACAAAAATTTAAGGTTTTGTTCGTATAGCTGTTATTTTTGCATCAAATGGAACCACATTTCACAAGATTGATATATTTGGTAGCATGCCAATAGACTCATACAATACAATTGGTCTTGTGATTCCAATTTTGATAAATTCTGTATCATAAAAGTATCTCAGACAAAATTACAGAAGAAAAATTCCTAGCAACTATATTTTTGGAAACATATGGACTCCAAGCTTTTATATCTTACAGTTAAATTTCTATTAAAGTTGATTTCTAGCTTAACTCATCAGTTGTTATGTTTATGTGGTATTTATAGTAGATAGAAACTGCAAAAAGGAAAAATGATCAGCAGGACAAGATCTCCAAGTAGGTGACTCCAACCTTATCAAATCTTGCAAATAAACCTGCAACCTGTGACCTTTGAAAATGTCCCAAGCCGATACAGTTTTTTATTTAGTATTGTTTCTGCTTAAAAGTTACCTTGTGACCTAAAGCAATTTTTAAACGTGACCTTTTGACCCAAAGAGTATACCCTACTGGAGCCACAACTATGTCATCTTAGCCGGAATCGTCATTTGACTTCTCGAAGAAGTTATTGTCATTGAATGACGAAACTATGATGGATAGACTCGGTCCAGCAAAAATGACCAGGAAAACAAGATGTTGGCCTAATACTGCTTCCATTCAATACAAATATTCTTATTGCATTGTATGAATTAATGCAAAATTATTAGGTGAGCGATTAAGACTCCTTGGCGCCTTTGGTTATAATTATAAAGTTATAATAAAAGTTAAACGAGGGTTTTTTTGTCACAAATACTGCTTTTATTTTCCTTGTATATTGTATACATGTTGGTGCTATTATCTTTAATGTTATGAAGTTATTTATTTATTTGACTGAAAACTCGGTTGCGAAAAGCATTTGTTATTTCAAACATAATGAATTTATTTTATCCTTTCTATCGTATTATGTCGACTGACAGCGTCTTGTTGTCAATAGGGATGCATCACATTGGTCGTTCGTGTCACACTTACACATAATGTTTTAATCTACAACTCCTGGAAAACGTTTTGACAGATTTCAACCAAACTTGCACAGATTATAATACAGGACTTGAAGTTGTGTACCTTCTTTTTATCTTTTTTGAAATTATCGATTTGTTTGGTTTTCCATACCAACAGATGGATTTTGCCGTTTCTGATTTTATTACTTTGTGAATCCACTACCTCTTGAAAACGACGTAACAGAATTCATCCAAACCTCACGGCAACAGAAATAACGACACGGAGAGGAAAATATAGTAAAATGCTATATTTGCATACAATATATTGCAACTGTAGACCCAAATATCATTTATTTCATCCTGTTGTAAATCATTAATGTTTTTGTACTTCGATTGCAATATTTCGAGGAAAATTATTTTAGATTATTGCGAAGGTTTATAAAACAACCATTAAACTTGGGAAAATTCAGTGGACAAGATGGGGAAAAAACATCAACACCGTCAACACCAAAACATTAAAAAAACTTAAAATCATGGAGATCCGAAAAGGTGAAAATATTTGTTGAACATAAACATATTTCGTTTTGCCGTTTTGTTCAATTAATTCTCATTCATGCAAAATACTCCAATGTTGCGTGAATGCTCTTTTAACAATAGGAGAGACTTCCATAGAAGAACTGTTTCTTATAAAGATGGAATGATTTCTTCATCGACATTTGATTTTTTATCCAAGTCCTCTGGGCCATCATCTGGTTTTCTGCCATCTGTTGTGTCTTTCCTTCTATCCAGGATATGATTTCTAGCCAGTAACAGCAGCACCGGTATCATTAAGCTTGATATTGCCCCAAAAATGATTGTGATCAGGTTATTGATATCTAAAATAAATAAATTGATACAAAACAACTTCTTTATTTTTCGTCGATTTTCTCGTTTCTTTTCTAGATTTTTGAATTCGATTGCATACTAGTATTTAAGATATTTTTTTGCATATATATATATATGCATTAAATATATTATCGGTATGCACATAGTTTACAGTAGTTTTGCTGCTTTCAACATCAAGTTGTTGGCGAATTTCTAAGTTTCTAAGTTTCCTAATCCTTACATTGAGTACTCATCGGGTTTTATTTTAAGTTACCAAGAAATACCATGTCTAAATCGAATCGACATCTGGCTATTTCTTTATTTTGAAAAATATAAGATTTTATAAAAAATAATCCAAAATGCACAAATTAGCAAAAGAGGAAGCACTGACTTTATTGAAGTATGCCATATCTTTGGATGTGTAGCATGGTTTAATATAAAATCCTTGCTAAAGTAAGCTGTCCGTTTGGCTGTACGGGATGTATAAACACGCACCAATGTCTGATCGGAATGGGAATGTTTATACTGATGCCTCGTGTGGGGAGAGAGTCATGCTCTTTGTGTGTTAAAGAACACATTGCAACAACTCTCGAAGGGGTCCGTAGGTGGCCTGTTGCAAGGCAAAATTTCTTTACCTATTCAACATACCCTCATTTTCCATGGAGTAGTAATTCGATTCTAGTCGGCATACCTTGCTGAACCTACATATAATATAACTTTGTTTGCATGAAATATTTTCCACTGGGAATTTAGCAAACAAGCAATAATCAATCAACCAGTTATACTTTTATATTATATATAATAATATTAGTTTCTTCTAAATCTTGATTTTCCTCTCGCTGGTAAATCACCAAATAAAACCGAAATATTCTCTTTACATCACAATAAAGTTAAAGATGACAAAAAACTGATAGTAAAAACAAATAAAATAAGTATGTTTTAAAACTAGGTTGTCTCACAAAAATCTTCACACGGAATTAACACATTTGATCCTAGCTCACAGCTCTACACTACAGTAGATGCAAAGCAGTTTGAGCCAGGAATCAAGCATAAGACCATTCCCACATGTCGTTAAAACACCACGTGAGCTGAAGATTTTAAAAGTCAATTGCTGTCCACAAAATTTCTTGTTCTTATGAAATATTAATTCATACAGATTGGGTTAAACTTGTTTGAAGGCACCAACTCTCTCCAACCTTTCCCCTAACAAGCATATTTAACTCCGCCGCATTCCTTGTGTACCTGTCCCAAGTCAGGAGCCCGTAGTACAGTGGCTGTCGTTGATTCATGTCTGTCATATTTGTTTTCCGTAAATTGTTTTGTTATAAATAAGGCCGTTAGTTTTCTCGTTTAAATTACTTTTATAATTTGGCCTTTTATAGCCGATGGAATTTTGTCATTGTTGAAAGCCTTACGGTGGCCTATGATTGCTTACTAAAACTTCATTCAACTCTGGTAGATAGTTGTCTCATGTGCAATCTTGTTTTTATATTTTTGCATGTAAGAGTTGGCCTTCTTCTGGATTATTGATGTTGCTTATTTCAGGAAAAAAATAATCACGTGACTAAAACAACAGGTAATTCTTATCACCTATAGTGCTGTTAGAATCTTCATCTGGCTTGTTTTCTGTTAAAAATATCATACAGTGACCATCTTGACTGCACTTAATCATCTCGTGGATTCCAAACGAAGTCCTCGACTGGTAGAGTTCCTCAGGTCCTTGAAAAACAATAGTCAAATTAACAATGATAAAAATAAAATAAAACAAGAATGCAAATCAAGAGAGAAATTGATACCATTCGAAATGATGGAAAATGCACAAGAAATAGATACAAATAAACTTCTTGAAAAAAATAATCAAAGATTGGTAAACATTAATTTGTAAATATAAATAGAAAGTAAAACATTGAATTATAAAACAAAAATATCCCTCAATTTCTTAATATATGATTTAACCGTACCCATAATCCGACCCTTTCAAATGTGAGCCAGTAAATTACATTTACGGCAATTCTTGGTAACATTCATTTGTATCCAATTATTTTTTTTATAAATCGTGTACTTCTTAGGTTTCCGTTATGAATACGCTAACTGTTTGCAAATAAACTATTTTGATGTATAATTCTGCACGAATGTGAACTTCAGCACTACACTCATTATAAAACACCTTATTCTTTCTCAATCTTAATCAAATAAACTCCAAAACCGGATATCTAATTTAAAATGTAAAATAAGATTTTCTATAAATAAGTGTTGCCAAAACATGCAAACCATGGAGCAGTCCTGAATAATCATTTTTATGACTAGTGAAAAAGAATTGATAGTTTGTATTTATTTATGACTCAAAAACCCGAGGCAAAACAACAGCGCTTTTATTGCTGTTCGTCATCTCAAAGTCACTGTTAGGCTTATGATGAAAGAGCAATTATAGACAAACCTGTTTGTATTGTGCGTACCCTGATGTTCGGGCTCTCTTTAAAAGTGTTATTAAAGATGTGCATGGTTATATTCAACCTGAAAGGAATGTTTGAACAAAGACGCATTGGAAGTCTCGCTTTCGACCAATTACAATCAAAAGTTATATCCTCTGATAACTGAAAAAGAGATCAGATTTGCATTGAAGAATTAAGCAGATATTAACTAGTTTACGACCTATAAATTAAATACATGATTACGACAGATAGTATATTCTATTGTCTTTATTTATCGATTTGTATTCGTTTTTTTATTCCAAAATAAATACTTATAAACCGCCAGTTGTCTGAAACTATTAAAAAAAATCACTAGAAGCATTAGTTACGATTAAGACCCCCCCCCCCCCCCCGAAAAAAAATGAAATAAGATTTTTTTTTCAAACATTTATCAAAGTGGAGTTTTGAAATTATACTCTGCTATAAGCAGTCAGTTTGGTTCAATTTAGTCAAAATAAGCTGAAAAATATCCTGGTGTATTATTCTCTTGCAAGTCAATAATTCAACCTCATTTGAATCCGTATTCTTGCGACTTTCAGGTTAATCCTTAGTTTGAGATGGGTTACGCATGTGCTAAGCATGTTCAGTTACAAAAAGAAAACACTGCAAAACAAGGGAACAATAACTTTGTTGACTGATTCGATCAACAAAAAAATTATTCTCACACCGGTAAAAACGATGATTTACATTTTTTTTTTCTAATCAAAGACATAAAATCATACAGGACTAGAAAACTTGTCATGTACGATTGCACGTCTGTGTATTTATATTCATATGTATATCTATATTGGACCATAGACCATCGGCATTCTTCGGATATCATCTTGATGGTTAAATTTGGCGTCAAGTCTAAAATACACGCGAAATACATATAGTGAAGAGACTTTAACCATAGAATTACTTTTTTAATGCACCCACCTAACACACGGCTAAATTATATATCATTCAAAAGATCAACATCTGCACTATCTGTTTTGCACAGTCGTAAAAAATTCGTACGGTGCAATTTCCGTCAAATCAAGATCAATGGTCAAGAACGAATACGTGCATATTTTCCAAGATGTCAACTTTATGGTATATTCTGGCTTCTGAATAATAAAATCATGTATGCAAACAATTTGAACTTTTAGCAGAGAGATTTACAGTCACTTATCAAACGCATTTTTAGATATTTTAAGTGTGTTTTTGATAGACAGCACATGTTTCCTGAAATTCGAGTAAAAGTTAACAAAATGAGCAAAAACCAAACTTTTTTGTTTCTATTGTAATTACTTAAAACTAAGTAAAACCCTGCAATTAGTGTTAAAGAAGTTTTTGACATCATCAATTTCATATGATTATGCTTACTTGTAACCAAACAGAAAATTATAACAACTCATACAGTTGCCCAAAATACCGCCATCTGCGGAAACACAGCTTTTAATCACTTCTTCCTTTTTAAACATTGTATGCGGTCAATATAAGATTGAAGGAACAAAATTCTTAAGAATGTGAAAACATTTAAAATGAAAAAATACATGCGTGCATCATGCTATTGCTGGAAATTAAGGGGGAGAAACTTTGACGTATCAATGCGCATTGTAACTGCCAGACTGAAATAAGCATCTTCCGACTTTTCTTATTCTTTGATTTGTTATTTCATTATAAATATTGATGTCGTGAAAAGACGTTTTATCTATATAATGTCAACCATAAACAAATACAGACAAAAATTGATAAGAAATAAATTAATGAAAATTAAAATTTCAAAGAATTCACTTACTAGTATACAAATTAGAAAACTTGTCTTCTTGGATGCATAAACTGCAATGTTCATTGTTTAAATGCATAAATTCATCGAAAAAGAATAATTTTGTTGAAAAAAATCTATTAAATCGCAATGATTTTAGTTACTACTAGACATCCTGAATAGCTTGAATGACCTGTTCCTTTATTCACATGAGGCTGACTTCATCAAAAGAAAGATCTCATGTTAAATGTCGATACTAAAACGGGGAAAAAATCCAACGAACTAGTTCATGCTAAAACAATAACAACAAGAAAATAAATATTTCAGACAGCAAGAAACGACAACCACATAACTACAAGTAATTTGTTCCTGATTTTATAAAACAGAACTAGAAACCGTGGCATGCGACGGGGTTAAAATGTTTGTGAGTGCTCAAATCTATCTTAATCCCGCTGAATCTGGGGCAGTGGTATAAAAACACATCAAAAGATCTAAAGTACCGATTTGAAGATAAATTATCTACCAGTACACATCCAACATACATATCAAAATAAAGAAATGTGGTATGATTGCCAATAAGACAACTATCCACCAAAGTTCATATGAAGTGAACGTATTATAGGCAACCGTACGGCCTTCAACAATGAGAAAACAGATACCGTATAGTCGGCTATAAACCCCAACATGAAAAATATGAAACCATTCAATTGAGAAAACTAACGGCCTAATTTATAACAAAACAATTTACGAAAAAAAAATGACAAACACTAACCATCAACAGTTCATTTAACTCGAGGAAATGTGCTGTTATCCTCACTCAAAGTATACCGTTAAATTTAATAATTATGAACTGTCAATGGATGTTTAAAGTTAAATAAAATGACAGACATTCCGAATTCTCGAGGTACCAGTTTTATATATATATATAAAATAATCGTAAAATTTCGGCCAATTATATGTGAAATACTAGTAGTTGAACTAAAGTTTCAATTACATTTCAGTCAGTGTGATGCTCAATGCATTTTGAATAAGAATATCTATTTTTATTTATATGCATTTTTCATTTACCAGTTTGGGTATAAACATCTTGCGCCGTTTCAATGTTTCAACTGGGACAAGTACACTAAAAATTCAGTAGTCCCAGGTTTCAACAAAGATCGAATAGGAACTCCGGCCTTCAATTAATTTTACCATAGATATAATAGCCATGGCTATTATATCTATGATTTTACAAACTACACCAAACTACAAAAACATGAATCAAAATTATTTTATCGATAACATCTGGTATTGGTTTTCACTGAAGTTATCTTTACAGACCAGCGGGTGTTAAACCCCATAATTATGCGTCTTATCGCATATGGTCAAATTAGCAAGTGACCCCATATGGAGCGAGGACGGGTTATCGTCCTTGTCGATACGAATAATTGTTTTCAAATTGGGTTATCTCCATTAAACCGGACAGATTCTTGGCAATGGATATCCTCGAACAACTTGAAGAAAGAAATAAATACTATGCTATATAAAAATTCTTTTTTCGCTCTTGAAACTGCAACACCAATTTGAAAACAAAATTATCCATAATATTATTTGAATTCCTCATGTGGTGCTGTTAATGCGAAAAATCTGATATAAAGAGTAACAAAAATTTTCCTGTTAATTGTTTTATATTATACATTTGTCGAAATTGGCTTACCAATATGATTCAAAGTTGTCATGAATAAAACATAGTAAAAGTAATATTAAAGTATTCCTAAAGCAAGTAATACAATCTCTCTCTACCTATATAATTACCGTGGATCCAAACAATGTTTCATTGTTGTGCACCAATAGTCTTCGCTTTTGGAACGTGATTGTGTTATTGGCTTTTGTATTACATGGTAAGAATAGGTCCATGATCTCATAACACAAATGTAAATATTTTTGTGTGTTGTTTTCTGCTTTGTAGCCGGTCAATGCAATAGAGCATGGCGGATGTAAAGGATAATCATCTGATGTAATGACAAAAGACTGGTTTTCCAAAACTCCATAATGTTGATAACATTTGTTTTCATACTGTCTTCCCAATATCACTGACATAATTAAAACGATAACATATATGAAAATAACAATAAAAGTAACAAATCAAATATAAGAAATCTGTTTTGAAAAAAAAATGGTCTAGTTATCAACCTAGGGTCTAGATGGGTTTACCTACTAGAGAATAATGACAAGAAAATAAATGGATACTGCAAAATGAGCAAAAACAAATAAGGAATACAGAATAATGGGATGTATAAGTATAAAGAGTAAATGTGGAAAATAAAAGAATTAGGTAATACAATTATGATATCAGAAATGAACGATGTACAGAATGAAGAAATAATATAATTACAGACGAAGGAGAATGTACGATAAGGCCATTGTTTTGGACCCTTAAATTCCTAAATCAAAAAGTATAATATGTCTTCCAAATAACATCCTTGATACCTAAATTACCAAAACATATTCTACATAGTTTGATATTTACACCTATGCGTAGGAATTATTTTGTTTTCTAGGATTCAGAAACAAGCAAATTTGTAAAAGAAATTTGCCTGTTTCTGAATCCAAGATATTTATTTCAATTGTATTATATCGTTATGTAATGATTTATCTGAATATAAATATTGTTTAAACTAACTATTTTGTTTTTTATTTAAATATGTGCTACTTTCCGGTATGTTCTTTTTGATCGGGCCTTAGTTGGCGGTGTTACATCTTACAAGTCTACCCGAATTATTTTCCCTATACATACGTTACTTCCTGCTAAGTTCTCGATGTGCCTCGTGGTTGTTTAAATTTTTGTATTGTTTTTTTTTGGCACGCTTCAGTGTAATTGTCGGACTAAATTATGACAGTAAATGTTTGATTTCTTTGCCAGATTTATTTTATTGATATTACTCCATGGCTTTGTTCTTCAATTTACAGTTGTGGCGTGATCGTCAGTTTGTAAAGAATTCTGCTGAAACCAGTGCTAGGGGTCTTAAACTCGAGTGAGGTGAGAGTTTTTTTGCTCCGTGTTGAAGGCCTCACTGTTCCTTTGCTTTTTGTGTTTTTTGCTGTGCATGTATTGATTGTGTGTCATGAATAGATACCCCATATCCTTTCTTTTCTATTAAAAGACATTAGTCTGTCAGACATCAGTATTTATATTTTTGTGAATTTTTTTTTCGTGCATTTTTGCATTAGGGCATCACACTTCTTAGTGCAAAACAAAAATATGATAAACTGCAAAAAAAAAAAAAAGAATAAAAAATAAAAAGAAGCCTTTTATTGAGATCTTGTCACTATATTCAGATTTGAACAACAGATTTTTACCAAAAAGATACTTTGCTGCAAGATGTATTTTACACATATACTAATGTGT